CCAAACATCCACACAGACAAAAAAAACAATCCATAAATCATACATCTACAAATCTCTCCTGCTAGTCTCTCTGATTTAGCGGCAGCCGTCTCAAAAGTAAATTGTAGATTATTGCAGTCTGTCGCCAAGCAACAAGTCAAGCTTCCGGTGCCTGCATGGTGAAAGTGTGCAGCGAAGGATCTAGCTTGATTCTCTCTCCAAACCTGTGTTACATATTCATATCTACATATTCTTAACACCACAGCTATTAAGTAACAACACAAAAAACAGCAACATACTATTAGTTTTGGTTTAGTGTTATTAGAATTAATGTTAATGAATAGATAGATGCACAAAATACAATGTTTTCTTCTCCCACAAGTCACTTTACAGTCTAATTCCATTTAAATCATGATGATTTGTGGAAAACATTACCTGGAAAACATGATGACACCGTGAGGAACTTTGTTCTTGCCCAGGCTCTCCCAGCTGCCTCGTATCAGCTCCTTGTCTTTCCCCGACAGCTTGTCCATCCTCCCTCAGGCTATAAACACGAGGCAAGTTCTTCTAGAGGGGAAACACACAACTCTGCTACAGGACAAGAGGGCGCAGTTTGAGGAAAGCCATAATATTCGAGTCAATCCACAGACGAAAACGTCCACCAACCCACCTGGAAAACAAAGTGCAGCATGAAGTGAGTGTGACACAGCTGATTTGTTAGTTTCAGATATGAAGAGGGGGACACGGCTGCAGCAGATATGATTCCTAGGGTGAAGATGCACAAGCATACTGTACCTTCTTGAGGTCAGTCTTCTCTGTGAACTTCTTCTGATGCAGCTGGGCTGAGGGGTCTGTCTGTGTGTGTGTTTGTGTGTAAGTGTGTTTGTTTTTGTGTGTGCAGGCAGCAGCCTTGCCTGACACTCTGGTGGTGCACTTGCTCTCTATCCCCAGCCCCACGGTGCAGTCAGGGAGACAAGTTGTGCCACGCTCTTATCTGTCACACTGCCTGCTATCTCTCTCCCCTTCCCGTTTGCCTCTTGATATGCTCTCTCTCCAGCACTGGGGATATTATTCATGCCACTGAAGGAGAAAAAGAGGGATCTCTCTCTGCTGCTCCAGAGAGGCTGCGGCGAGCCACAGCTCCTCCTGCAGGTGAACCGAAGACTAAAACACACAGAGACTATGCATGCATACAAATCTGCATGTACAACACAGCGCATAAAGAAATACTCTTACTTTAAAATCACAGTTCAAATACACAAAAAAACTAAATGAGGAAATTGATTTTGGTCCTTTTTTAAAGTGGCTCTGATACATGGGGTTTAGTGCTGTTGCTTAAAATGGTTATATATTGTTGTTATATATTTTTTTATCTATTTTGTTGTTTGTACATGTTTTATATTTTGCTCCTATTATTTTTTCTTCCTTCTAAACACCTTGTAAAGCCATTTAGTGGTCGTACTTTGCATTGTCATTTGCGAGTCTACTGGCTCAGGTGTTTGAAATCACTTTGCATTTACTGAAGGTGAAACTGTGCTCAGGGCTACATCCTGAAGAAGGCTGTTTGTACCGTCATGTGTGGGTTGTATCCCAGTTCTATCTCAGCATATACCAGCATTGTGTTTGTTTTAAGTATATAAATAGAAAACCTGATTAAAGGCATTTTAACTTTTTGCCAGAGGAGTGCCTTGCTCCTTCTGTTTTCCCTACCAAAGAGCACCTTCGTCACGCTTGTTTGAACTTCCATGCACTCCAGATTTTTCCTTTTATTAAAGATTATTTTTTGGGCTTTTGCCTTTAAATGATAGGACGGTTTTAGGGGGGAAGGAGGGAGAGAGAGCAGGGATGACATGCAGCAAGGGGCTGCAGGCTGGAATCGAGCCTGCAGCAAGGACATTGCCTTTGTACATGGGATGCTCGCTCCACCCACTGAGATGCTGGGTGCCCCGACTTTCTCCTTTTTTAAAAAAGAAATTAAGATGAACAACAAAATAGCTTGAGCAGAAGCACTTCATGCAGTGAAAATGCAGATGTTTACAGCAGCTGAATGTAAAGTCTCTGTAAAAATAGGTCTGAACTCGAAAAACACAACTCTGAGACCAGGCCTGTAAAATAAAAAGGTGATGGAGGATGGTGGGAACACAGGGGTTATGTCAGGGCAGGTGGGAGTGGCAGAAGCTGAAATGCCAGGAGAGTTGGTGCATGGCAGGGGAAGAAAAAAAAAAGCAGACAAGCAAAATGTGAGGCGAGGACTTGGCTAACATTGTGACAGTGAAGTCCATTTGAGGCCTGTATTATCTATTCTAGGGTGTGTCCTCAGCTGCCCACATTTGCAACCCCTGCATTTACAGAATTAAATGTGTGGGAATTTTTATATCTTGCAGCGGCTGGAATAATAAAAGACCTGAACGTACCACCTTGGCGAAATTATATTGTTCATCTGCTAAGTAGAGCCACTCCTCAAACAGCGTGATCATAACATTTGGTGGCCAAGCGCTCAGCCTCTCATTAATCTAAATGAGATGTGTTTGTTGCCTCTCTCAGCTTTCACACACATCGGAGGCACTACGGTTGGTTTAAATAGATGTCACAGCAGGCGTCTCACTCGGATATTGTCTAACAGGGTGAGAGAGATTGGTTTTGTTTTCAGCTGTGCAGTGGGGGAATCAGAGGTGCGCAGCGTTCTCCTGAGGAACTACAAGGCAGAGTGGGGAGGGATAAAACTGTTCCCATGACAACCTGACAAGATGGAGCCTTGGAAGCTTTATCATGTGATGTTTGAGATCTCAAGAAAGGGACTCTGGGATTATTTATTACATCTCTAACTACTGTGTAGCAACATCTAGGCTTATAGCTGTAGTTGGTAAACTTTTTTAATATTTGCTGAAGCTGTCACTACATTCATACAGCACTAAATGAGACAGATAATCATATTCCTCTGCCCACTCTATTGCCTTGTAGCGCTTCTAATGGCCTTACCATATATGTAAGTAAACAACCAATAAGAGTGAAGGGGTCTCTAATGCAGCTGTCAATCGTGTTAATCGCTCTGTGAACTGAGGTTGAACTGTCAAACCAAGCAGTGCTGATCAAATATGGATCATGATTTTGTTACTGCATTGCCTATTTCTCACTTCAAATGTTTTCAGAAACATTATCAGTGTACTGTTAAGCTATAAAAATGAGAAAGTTGGTCTGGCTGGTGGGCGGTGCTTGGTACTTTGGTCGACTATTTCCAACATGGGTGCCGGTTCACAAACTTTCTCATTATACAGCTAAACAGTACACTAAAATATGTTACTTTAGGTGACAAATAGGCAATGCAGTAACAGAGTCTTGATTCATATTTGATCAGCACTAGTTTATCAGTTTGATCGCAGTTCATGAGAAGTGATTGAGATGTTTCACAGCTGTGTTAGAGACTCCTCGACTCTGATAAGTTGTTGTCGGTTGTTAGCGGCTCACTGATTTTGCCCTTTAAGGGTGGTGGCCTGAGTGAGTAACCTGTGAGGGTGACTACTTCATGGTGTATATGGAGGGAAGCAGCTCCCTCGGGATGTTATGGTGAAGATGCATGCTACAAATAGTGATGATAGCAGTCGAAATAAGTGTCTAGATAAGCTCAAGGCTACTGTTAGACCTCATGAGAAGGCCATGTTTCTTGTCGAGAGTCTTCAATAAAGCTGTTGTTGGTGAACAGCACCTAAGCGACTCACCATCCTTCCTACTTCCTTCTACAGAAGCTAGAAGCGAGTTACCAGCTTATTTAATGCTGATAAGCCAGCGTGTTCCAAACTACGGTTCGGAGCTGGTAAGCTGTCACTGAGAGGTAACACGGTGCACTGCAGCAGACTCTTAACTATTGTCATTAGATGCAGTAGGAAGAGAAGGAGGGGTGATTTTTTTTTTTGCAGACTGTCTCACGTACTTCTTTTAGAATATAATGACAGTTTCAGCAAATATGACTCAGTTATTTTCATAAAAGTTACCAACTTTAGTTTAATTGTATAAAATTAACCATATGCTTATTTTAATACCGACACAGTCAGAGTGAATACTGTTACAGTCATCTATTCCTGGCAGAACGACAGAATTATACTGTAATTGTATGTATCATATTGGACTCTTCAACAACAAAAAACAAACAGCAAACAGACTTTCAACTAAGAATTCACTAGTGTTACCTCAGGACAACTTACATAATTTAACTCATGCAAACTTTGCCTTAAGTAGCCTTAATGCATGACACAGTGGCCTACATAAGTTAACCATATGGTATGCCCTGGTCTCCTTGACTACATTTTAATTATGATTATATACATATTCAGACATTCCCATGTGGTTTGTTAGTAAAAATTATTTCTAAAATTCCTGGCAGTCAGCTGTCTAAGCACAAGTTCACAGTGGAGGGCAGTGTACAAGTGTATTTGATGTGGGTCTATAGGCTAGGAGTGACCACTGAACTGGTCTCTGTGAATACAGACACACAGAGAAGGCTGTTTATTTAGGTGGCAATGTGGCTGTGGAAATAACTAGGAACTTTAACCCAACCACCCCATGGCAGACGCTTGGTGTCCTTACAGGACCTATCAAATTAAAGAATATACATTTATTCCATGTTTTAAACTAGGCTAAGAAAAAACAACAAGGGGCAAAAACAGACACAATTTCTCATGGTAAAAGCATTATAATTTTTTATAATTATCAGAATATTCTTGATTTAGAGTGGGTAAAACACAAATGAATGTTGCAGACACGGTGGTCTCAACTGGTGTTCCCATTTTGTTTTTAAACTGTTCATTCTGGTAACCAAGTGTTCATCATCCTCTAAATTACAGTCTTCATAATTCTTAGCAAACTGTTGTCATAAAACGAAAAGCAGCTTTTTAAATTTTCATTTTCACAATCTGCATGACACATGATGCAGATCATGGACATATATACTGAAAGCTTATAAAAAAATAATTTCTTATTAACATATACAGTTCTATAAAGTTGTATTTTCTTCCAGTTGTTATCCCTAACATTTGTGATTGTAAAGTCCAGATGTTTTATCATTTCATAATTTACAGTTGCACATCTTAAACTATCAAATGCTCTGTGCGGATAGTTAGCCGTGACATGAATCATTTTTGAGGACAGTGTTGTTTTCTAGCGGAGAGGCCATAAAAAACTCTGTGCCGCCTGAACCTTTTTGATCACGGCATTTCTTCCCCTTTGGACTTCACGCTCTTCTCTTCCACATCTTCAATTTTCTCCCCATCGTCTACATTTTCTTCCCTAAATCAGACATGTTGGGTTAGAAAATGGCTATATTGTAATTACATTGAACTTTTACTTGGCTACAGTATTTGTCTTTCTTCACTAAAGACTGCAGGGCAAGCTCAGAAAATTATGTAATGCAACATGACCAAACCACATGAAGTCCTTGGCTCTGCAGCTCCAGTGCTATTCATAATTTTACCGGACATAGTGGTATTACATAGTGGATGAACAAACCTTACTATAAATTCTCACTCCCCATACCTGCTGGGAATGTCATTCTCAGTGCTGCGGTTCTCGTCTATATCCTCCTCAGATCTGGATGATGCTGATGTTCCTTCAACTGCTTCTCCATTTTCCTCAACAAACTGCTCCTCTAAGCCGGCTTTCTTCAGCTTGTTCCTGTACGTCTGCTCTGCATGAGCCTTTGCATTTCTCTGCCAGGATAAAAACTCAAAGTTATGCTGGAGGGCCATGACATTTACAATGTGATGTAATCTTCTCAGCTTATTACGTCACTCACCTGTTTCACCTGTTCGAACAAATACGGGCGTTCGCTAACTCGTGCCTTCATACTCCGTAACTCCCTCATGTACTCCCTCATCCTTTGTTGGTCAGCCTCCCTTCATGTAAGAGAAGATTATAGTTTGAGCTACTGCGGCAGGCGTGTGTGGTTGTTGTGATGTGAGTAGCAAAGGTTGCAAAATTGGAGAATGAACGGCTTCACTTGACCAGCACTCACCGATGGTTCTGTAGTTTGTCATTATAGACTTCTTTCAAGCTGCTGTGTGGGTCCAGCAGCTTCGCATGGAGTGTGACTGTCTTCTTCATGGCCTGGGACCTCATTTGATATTTTCTCAACCAGTCGGCACTCTCTTGAATCTTACTGTCCCTCATCTCCATTGACTTTCTGTGGAGGTGAAAATACTCTGCATGTCAGAGTAATAAAAGGAATACTTCACAAAATGATCATTATTTAAATTACTTGGCCTGTGTTACCTTGAATTTGTAAAGAAAACTTTGTTTTTCTCGCATGTCTCAACAGTGAACAACAAATCCAAAAAAGGCAACCATTTTTCAAACATTAAAGTAAAGGGTGACTGCGTTTGACAACAGAAAAACTGCATCAAAACATCCGTCTACAAACTCCCACACAACTCGTGCAGTATAAGGCACTTCAGTATTTCCCAGCCACACGCATTTTTGCTAAAACCTTACTATTTTAAACACTTCCGCATAAACAGTCTCATGCACAGACAAGGAGTGCACCTGGGTAACTAAACAGAATGCACAAGCAGAGCTCAAATCCATGTGCTTGCCCAGCTGCACCACTTGCATGCTAAAGTGTTTTAAATAGTGTGGTTTTAGCAAAAATGCATGTGTTTGGAAGTACTCAGGATATGACTGGATAAATGAGACATGGATCATACTGCACCAGTTGTGTGAGAGTTTGTAAGCGGATGCTTTGATAAAGTTTTGCTGTTGTTAAATGCGGACCTCATTCACTGCTGAGGCATGAGATAACAGTTTTCTTCACAAATGTATGGGAACAAGGCATAAGTAACTGAGGTATTCCTATAACTATTTTGTGTGTAAAAACTTTAAGGAGGACAAAAAAAATATACCATCTGAGTTCCAAAGTCATGCCAAAATAATCACCTGATGGCCACGCAGCGCTTCCTCGCAGCATCTGTGATGTATGTGGGGAGAGTGTCCGCAGACAGTGACGTTAAGGCCCCAAGTGACTTGCTTCTGCTGAGATTGCTTATTTTTGGTACCTGTAAATGAAGGGGGAAAAACAGTTAACATTTTTGTTAGCTGAAATCCAAACAAATATATTGTTTGGCCGCATATTGCATCAACTTTTAAAATGTATAATTAACTTGAAAATAAAACCCTACAGGGCGCAGTGAAAGCGCCAGCAATGTTTACATCAGTATATAAACTGATGTAAGCCATGCATAAAGTCCTTTTATATAGACACGCCAAATCAGAGCAGTGAGTTGTGACGGATATTGTTTTTTTCCGTCAGATGATACAGCATAGCATGACTCAAAGTAGCAGAAGTAGTTTATCAATTTGTAGAAAAAACTCTATTCCCTGTGGTCAAAGCCAAGTGAAAAAGGATTATTCTAGTCATTTGTTTGAAATGTAAAAGTACTGCAGGAGAAATAGAGAAGACCAACATTGCCTGTCAATAAATGAATAAACTGTGTAGAAAAACCCTGTAGTTCATTATATGATACTTAGTAATATTGGATTTCTTTTTATCTGCAACATAATTTTCCATTTTTGTGTTTATCAACAATTATTGTGAGATCAATAAATACAAAATAAAAACATTCACAGAAAAAAGACAAAATGATAAAGATGAATTGATGGGAAGCGCTGGTTTTAGGACTACCCAGTTTGATGTTACTGTCACAGAATAATGTTTTTGTTTGTTCTCCACAGCATAAATCTGTTAGTCTCTGTACATTTGTTAACTATGAAGACATTTTGTATAATTACCTGTGACAGTCTAAAATGTGACTAGGCATCCACAGCAACCTCTTTACGTGCCACATCATCAGCAACAAGGCTAAATTCATCTTTATAAAGTTAAATCACAAGAAGCTGCCCAAAATGCCAGACATGTTCATAAAATGAATCTCTGGTAACTGGATAATTTTGGGCAGAGCCAGGAAATACATGAAAGGAAGACAGGAATTAACTTTCACTGATCACAAAGTTCATTCTACCACTTCGGATTAGCGTAAATTACTGTTATTCTTAATTACTGTTATAATTATTTCTACTCTGTGATGCCCTCATATGAACCTTCCTTCCAGTCTCATTTCTAGAAGCATATAAAGGGATGGTCCTGTGAAATATGTTTAATCTCATAAAAATAGATATTCCTACTGGAAATGACGAAACTGAAGTGAACATATATTACATGGCTGTATATCAGGGGCTGTAGAGATTGGGTTTGAGTTGAACTTGATAAATTATGAGGTGGCGAAGGTTTGAAATACAACTCTTGAAGGGAGGGGAATATTCCCTCTCTGTAGAGGGCCCACTGTACATATTTTAAATAGCTTTACGGCTCCACAACTGAGGGGACTGGTCTGAACAGCGTCAAAAAATAACACATAAGCCACACAAGAACTTAACCGTATAATAAATCCTTTGCCATCAAACAAATTACCCTCAACCACACAGAACAGAAAGTCAACTTTGACCAGGTCAAAATCCTTTGTCACATTTTCTGAAATAAACACTCTGAGTGTTGAGGGACCACAGGAATAAATGGTAGAGCATTTGCACAGTTGGCAAAAACTGAAGGGGAAACATCTGTTTTTACTAGGCCGCTTATTGTGCAGTTGGTGCAATCACAGTGATCATATCAGTGATATGGAGCTTTCTAAACAAGCAAGGATTAAGGGAATGAGCACTGTTTGTCATCTAGAACATTAGAGGCTTTAAGGAAGGCTTGTGTTTTCCTACCAGCATTAAAAAAAAGGGTATTGACTTGACAAAGTGGTGGGTGGATGTGTCTCGAGCCATGCACCAAACACAGTAAAGCAAAACTAAAATGTGAAGCCATCTGGGCCTGGATGTCTTTTTCTGTAATTCCTGGACAGACTCTGACTCTTCAAAACAGGCATTATCCTATACATTTTAGTGATGTAATATTTGCTTTCCATAAGAAGGCAAGAAATTAATGAAATGCATTTAAAATAAATGAAGCATAACTTTCAAAATGAAAATTAGTTCATATTCTGAGAGGTAACTAAAACCAATAAAACCCATCTTGACATATTCTCATAAACAGACAACGGAGAGGTTTTACCTGTGACTTTTCAGGGCCCGTCCTACTCCGCCTTGCAGGGAGAGCCGATGTCCTCAGAGAGAAGGGCTTACACTTTATCCTATCTTTACTCTGTGTTTTTTTCAGTGCCTCTGTCTGCAAAGTTTTGTGCAGCCTGCTGAAATCAGGAACCTGATGAATGATTTTTGGCTTGAAACTGGGTCTCTCATCCAGGAAGCCCAGCTTTTCCTTCCTGGTGCGCTCGGCAGTGCGAAGTTTCAGGCTGCCTGACACTGTGGGATTCTCATGTCGCACTGTTTTCTGAGTTGAGACTTGTCTGCAAAGCTCCTGATCTGCACAAAATTACAACAAGGTGATGTAGAAGATGAAGTCATGTCACTGAATACAGCATATCAGATGCACTTTATACATGCACTGTTTCATTCAGTATTATTAAGGCTGACTATTACTATGAATTAAAAATGGAAATGTCAAGACAGATGGTTAGTTACACCTTTGTGTTATCACCACATCATATCAAATTTAACAGTGAATTTCAGGAATATGACAAGTTAATAACATGTATTTGTAATGTTGTCTTATGTTTATCAGGAAGTCTTTAGCAATAGAGCAAGTATTTTTATAGGTTCCAACAGCACATGAGCTACTGTATACTTTATTCTGTGAATCAGTATATACCATAAAACTTTAATTAAAAGCCTGGTCCCAATTAAATGCCCAGTCCCTTTTACTAGCCCCGTGTAGCTACACATTTTGACAAATAAAGGCCTGTCTCAATTAGATGCACAGTCTGGTTGTCAAGCAGTTCATTTTTATAGGTGTTCTTTGGATGTACAGTACAGGCCAAAAGTTTGGACACACCTTCTCATTCAATGCGTTTTCTTTATTTTCATGACTATTTACATTGTAGATTCTCACTGAAGGCATCAAAACTATGAATGAACACATGTGGAGTTATGTACTTAACAAAAAAAGGTGAAATAACTGAAAACATGTTTTATATTCTAGTTTCTTCAAAATAGCCACCCTTTGCTCTGATTACTGCTTTGCACACTCTTGGCATTCTCTCCATGAGCTTCAAGAGGTAGTCACCTGAAATGGTTTCCACTTCACAGGTGTGCCTTATCAGGGTTAATTAATGGAATTTCTTGCTTTATCAATGGGGTTGGGACCATCAGTTGTGTTGTGCAGAAGTCAGGTTAATACACAGCCGACAGCCCTATTGGACAACTGTTAAAATTCATATTATGGCAAGAACCAATCAGCTAACTAAAGAAAAACGAGTGGCCATCATTACTTTAAGAAATGAAGGTCAGTCAGTCCGGAAAATTGCAAAAACTTTAAATGTGTCCCCAAGTGGAGTCGCAAAAACCATCATGCGCTACAACGAAACTGGCACACATGAGGACCGACCCAGGAAAGGAAGACCAAGAGTCACCTCTGCTTCTGAGGATAAGTTCATCCGAGTCACCAGCCTCAGAAATCGCAAGTTAACAGCAGCTCAGATCAGAGACCAGATGAATGCCACACAGAGTTCTAGCAGCAGACCCATCTCTAGAACAACTGTTAAGAGGAGACTGCGCCAATCAGGCCTTCATGGTCAAATAGCTGCTAGGAAACCACTGCTAAGGAGAGGCAACAAGCAGAAGAAATTTGTTTGGGCCAAGAAACACAAGGAATGGACATTAGACCAGTGGAAATCTGTGCTTTGGTCTGATGAGTCCAAATTTGAGATCTTTGGTTCCAACCGCCGTGTCTTTGTGAGACGCAGAAAAGGTGAACGGATGGATTCCACATGCCTGGTTCCCACTGTGAAGCACGGAGGAGGAGGTGTGATGGTGTGGGGGTGTTTTGCTGGTGACACTGTTGGGGATTTATTCAAAATTGAAGGCACACTGAACCAGCATGGCTACCACAGCATCCTGCAGCGACATGCCATCCCATCCGGTTTGCGTTTAGTTGGACGATCATTTATTTTTCAACAGGACAATGACCCCAAACACACCTCCAGGCTGTGTAAGGGCTATTTGACCAAGAAGGAGAGTGATGGAGTGCTGTGGCAGATGACCTGGCCTCCACAGTCACCGGACCTGAACCCAATCGAGATGGTTTGGGGTGAGCTGGACCGCAGAGTGAAGGCAAAGGGGCCAACAAGTGCTAAACACCTCTGGGAACTCCTTCAAGACTGTTGGAAAACCATTTCAGGTGACTACCTCTTGAAGCTCATGGAGAGAATGCCAAGAGTGTGCAAAGCAGTAATCAGAGCAAAGGGTGGCTATTTTGAAGAAACTAGAATATAAAACATGTTTTCAGTTATTTCACCTTTTTTTGTTAAGTACATAACTCCACGTGTTCATTCATAGTTTTGATGCCTTCAGTGAGAATCTACAATGTAAATAGTCATGAAAATAAAGAAAACGCATTGAATGAGAAGGTGTGTCCAAACTTTTGGCCTGTACTGTATAAACCTGGATTGTTGACTACCCACTTGTGCTAATGTTAGTTAGCTGTTTAGATTGCACATAGAGATATAAATGTTTAGGGTTTTGTCAGTATGGAGATGCTACACATGGTTACCTCGGTTCAGTTCATTTTACTGAAACCATGAGACCATAATTCATTCAAATTTACCAGCATGATAGAAAATAAGAGGTAACTCCCTACCTCGAGCATAAATGACAACGTCTGATCTGAATGTTAACTCTAACATAAAGACACTATGCAAATTCTGCCTGTGTTAGACCTTGATTGAAGTACAGTCTGATGCACTGATCAATAATAGGTACTGACATTTTCAGCTAAAATCAGTTGCTACAGCTGTCAAGACACCATCTACGTATGTGTGCTGTGTCATGGCACTCCTGATCTCTGATAAACATTGTAAGTAATAAGCGCAAAAAACTTTTTCTTTTCCCCAAGAGGGCGGCCTCCGAAGCTGTAAAATGAAGTCAGTGCTCAGTGCAAAAAAACTGCAGTTCTATGAAAAGCCACTTGAGGCTGGCTCTAGAAACAAGTCAGTTCTCTCAGAAACCCATGTTAAAATGCTTAACTTCACAGCGGAAGCAAACATGTTTACAGCCTGATACATAAACGATTTTGGCATCATCCCATCAGAAAAGGATACCAACCTTTCAAATCTGAGTCTGACGAGTCTTTTACCTCTTTGTGAGAAGGTTTCCTAACAGCAGCAATCTTGTTTTTCTCATCATGTGAGATTTGGTTTAACATTGCTATCAGCTTCTCCCTTTTCTCTCTTTCTCTCTCCTGGAAGCTGAAAGGTCTATGGCTGGAGAGCAAGAAGTCCCTCCTCTGCTCATGGCCCTGCCTCCTCTCCTTCTCTCTCAGCTCCATCATCTTCTGATAGAGGGGCTGAGTGACATGACTGGGGACTGGGAGAGCGGAGAACTTCCTCCGACACTCAGCCTCGGCCTCCTCCTCTTTGCTCATCTCTGTTGTTTTTGTTAAAGTGAACCGCTCACATGGTTGAGCCCTCGAGGGGATCAGTTTGGAAGTCCTGACTGAACACTTCTTCTGTTTTGAGGATACCAGAGCTGGAGAAGACAACTTCAGCCTCTCTGACTGTCTGGGATGGTTCAAAGTCTCTTTATCTGAGGTCAGGACAGGTGTAGAGGTGGATCTCCTCATTCCCACATCCCTGCAAACACAGTAAATATCTTTAAGAAAGCAAATATGTTATAATTATGACAAAAAATAAAAGAAATTTGAGGAAACCTACTTGGTCTGATATTTTAGTTCATTTCTATCACCAGATTCTCGATCAACATCTGTTGACAGCAGAGAGTTCTGATGAATCCTTCTCTCAAGCTCCTCTCTCTGTCTCTTCTCTGTCTCCTGCAGCTGCTGCCTGAGGGCCTCACTCAGGGCCTTCAGCTGCTGCTGGAGTATTAACTCTGATCTGAGCCCATCTTCCAGCAACTTCTCCAACTCTGGCATATTCTTCTGACCTGTGACGCAAACAAAAGCTGTGAAAGGTTGTTAATTCCTGTAAACAAAAAGTTAATCTGTGAAGAGACGTGTCATGATCAAAATTAAGCAGGGGGAAGAAAAAAAACATAAACAAGCCATCAATACTATTAATAACATTTTAAGACATTTACCCCTACATCCAAACACACACACACAATGACATATAACTTTACATAAACATTACTCACAAAGCTCACATTCTCCAGTTATTCAGCAACATTTCAAATAAAGCAGAAATGCTTAGTCAACTAAATCATTGGCAGTTGGACAGAAAACAATTGGCAATGCTTTTGATAACTGACTGTTCATTTATGTAACTTTCTCAAGTCTGTCAACAATTCTCTGGTTCCAGCTTATTAATGTGACTATGGTTGGTTTTTTGTTGTGAATGGTTTTCTTGACTGTTAATTGAATGTAATATGTAACTGTAGTCTCAGGGAAAGTGTGATGGACATTTATCACTATTTTCTTACATTTTGTAGACCAGTTGCAGCTCTACTCTTAAATAATGAGCATTTGCTGTTTTTCTTTAATTTGTATCATTATTAAATAAATATCTCTGGTTTTTAGAGTGTTGGTTTGGACAGAACATCTGAAGACATCACCGTACTCTCTAGAAAACTGTAATGGGAATATTTAAATATTTTCTGGAATTTAACAACATAGCATACATAGTTGTAGAAGATTCATCATTTACTTGGAATGATTTATTAATAACCATTTTTTAAAAATCGCCAGTTCTGTATTTGTATTTTAAAGGAGAACTACACCCATTTTCAAAATTCATACATGTTATTCCTATGGTCTGACACAGTCCAAAAATTTAAGAGAGCATGAAAAACTTTCTTCCAAATCCAAAACCAGAGTGCTAAAACTCAAATTTGTGAAGTCATAGGCAGGGTTGGTAATTAACACTAGCCACCGGCCAAATGCTGGTAAAATATATGAGTAGCTGCTAGATTCTTCTATACTTACCAGCCAAAAAACAATGGTAAATGTTCAGTGGTTGGTAGATTTTGGAAGTTAATTTCCAGCCCTGGTCATAGCATATAAAGTCTGCAGCTGCTCCATAGACAGTGATTTGTAAAAGATGTTTTAGATGACACTGACAGCACCCAGGGAAATGCTCTACTTATCATCCTGATGTGACTTCAGCTAAATGATCTGGGATGATTCCGGCCAAATTTGGTGATGTGAGGAGAAGCAATTATTCTCGGAGCTGGTTGTCTGATTAACAGGAAAACAGTAGCTTATGTGACAGGAAACATCTTTTAATGTGTATTAGAAAGCTGTCGGTGCGTCAGCTGATACTGTTTGTCAGACATTATAAATTGTCATGTTGGCTTTCCCGTGGGTAAACCCTCAAATGTCCAATCCTATGTATTTTGAGTCTCTTTATTCTACAACAATGGTTATGATACAGTATACATTGGCTTATCTACGGTATTGAAAAATATATGAAACTGGATGGAGAATCTCACCTGCCCGGGCACCACTCTTTTCCTCCTTGACTGCCTGACAGACTTTTTACACATACTGTACATTAAAAAAAATGTTTTAAGTTTCAATTAACATAGAGTGTATGTTGAACCAAAAAAACGTAGGGCCTATGTTTTCATTTATTTAAGGGTCTTTGTAACTCATAATGATTATAGTACTGGTGTAATACCATACCATCGTGAAACCGTGATATCTATTAAGATGGTTATCATACTGTGAAAATCACATACCGTTGCAACCTTAATAGAATAAAGCTCATTTAGGTAAACAACACTTTGGTGAGTCAAAAACATCAGACTCCAATTCATTGACTATGGAGCAGGTCCATTTTTAATGCTTGATGACATCACAAGTTTGAGACTTCTGTCTTTGAGAAAGAGCAGCTCATATTTACAAATATTAAATACATTTTCCTAAGTCATAAAAACACATATATTAAAGAGTTTCCATTTAATATAAAAACGTAATGTTACACACAAAGTGTAAAACTAACAACTAACAACTCCACCTCCAATGTGTGTAAACGGGTTGCCAGGCAACCAGACCTCAGTGCTCTCAACAGAGGTTAGTAACGCTAATGACGACTTAGGGACATGCATTTAGTTGTAGCTCAGCCAAGTTTCCACGCGTATTTACTACTATATTCATCTTGAAAACTGCTTTCTATATCCTGCCACTTAAAAACCACATTATAAAAAAAGAATAAAGTAACAATGAGCCGCCAACCTGTTAAAAGACGAGTTTTAGGAAGTGTATCTCGACGTCGAAGCGTCTTCCAAATTCGTATATCTCCGCTGACAAGGCAGTTTAGTCGTTAAGATAATGAGGTCTGTTGTAGAAATAAAGTTAACAGAGTATTACAGAGTTATTACACGACGCAGTTGTATTGAACTTGTAGTCAGTCCTCAGTTTTGGCAGCATTAGCACTGTCTGTGGACAGTAGCAGCAACGGTCCGCCGCGACGGACGTCTTCTGTGATTGGACAGCGAACCCGGAAGTACTTCCTACGGAGCGCTTGTCAACACAACATGGCTGGATTACACAAGGGACGCAGCTGCTGTTATTAGGACACATCCAAGGGGAAACGTCTGAATGAATGTCATTTAAAAGTGTAAATTAATCAAACTTGGACTGGTTTCTCTTCTAAACGCGGGACTTGTTCCGTGTGAGGACAGAGTGAAGACCGAATCATGCACAAGCTCACAAGGGCGACGCTGGCCTTCAACGGACTTGGCCGGTGTGTTATTGCAGAAAAGCATTTGTCGGCTATAAAAATCACCAGCCGAGGATTAGTGTGTGCAGAACATGGAGGCGACTCTGGCAAGAATCATGAGGTTTATGATGTTGTTATATCCGGAGGAGGAATGGTTGGATCTGCAATGGCATGTTCCCTAGGTGAGTCACGCCCTCCCGCATTACAAGCAGTGTTATCAGGAGTTTTAACTTGTGGTAATAACTCTAAAATCTTGAATATAACCCCTCAGATGTAATGCAGTGCAACAGGGGGCACCAGAAATATCTAAACACACAGTATCACCACATTATTGTTTTTAAATTTTACTGTAGCGACACTGTTAAGACTCAATCTTGTATGTGCTGCCATTTTTGGCAGGCATGGATCCCAACCTGGAGGGTAAGAAGATTCTTCTACTTGAAGCGGGCAACAAGAAAGTGATGGACAAGGTCCCAGACACCTACAGCACCCGAGTCAGCTCCATCAGCCCAGGCTCTGCCACCGTCCTCAGTGGTACACTATAATCTGACACACAAAAACATCACCGTCACGTGGTTTATATACTGTATTTACATCATATATTTTTCGTCCTGCTCTTTTTGAGAGGTTTTGTGTATTCAAAAGGGCAGTTTCACCACAGGCCAAAAATAAAAAATGTTATTTCTGTGATCATTAGCTCCCTGTCTGTGACAAGCTTGTGGTGCTAGACTAATACATGACTCCCACAAGGTAAGCAAGGGATCAGACTCTGTCCAGTCACCGCGGCTTAACTAGGATCATATCTGACCTTATTTGTTCCGCTCTGTAACTTTAGCTGGGCTTGACGGACTTGTCTCCGTAACATGTAATGTTCTTTGACATAAATCTGCCACCTCAAGTTTTAGATCAGTTAAAAATAGCTGTTCCATAGAAATATACTTTTTGTTATTTAAACAGACTGCCTGTATGTGCAGGCAAACACAACCACAGTTTTCCACATGCACTTCTCACTACTGAACTGTATGATGATTTATGAAATAATATACAGATTCATTTTCAAGTGTTCTGCAAAGATTGATAGTTGGTTTTCTCATCTACCCCCCCAAAGAGAACAAACAAACAGATTAAAATGTGTCAGAATGAACTCACCATTTTCATTTGAGCTAGCAGAAAATAATCATTTTGCTAAATTATTTGGTACAGTGGTGCAGTGTTTATTGTCACCTCACAGCAAGAGGGTTTCTGGTTTGAACCCCAGGGTGTGGAACCCTTCTGTGTGGAATTTGCATGTTCTTCCCATGTCAGCGTGGGTTTTGTCCTGGTACTCTGGCTTCCTCCCACAGTCCAAAGACATGTAGGTTAATCGGTGACTCTAAATTGGCCGTAGGTGTGAATGTGAGTGTGAATGGTTGTCTGTCTCTATGTGTCAGCCCTGTGATAGTCTGGCAACCTGTCCAGGGTGCCAAATGTCAGCTGGTATAGATTCCAGCATCCCCCGCGACCTCTAACAGGATAAGCGGTTACAGAAAATGAATGAATGAATAAATTACTTTGGTTGTTGGACACATAAGTTCCACATTAACCCCGATTCAGGTCTTAAAATAAGGACAGGTGCAGGTGCAAATGAGAGACAGAGAGGCTAAAGCTTTGCTTAATGTTTCAAATAATCTCTTTCAATCTGCTCTCTTGCATTATTTGTGTGTCATTTATTGACTTTACAGTGTGTACCCCTTTATCTGATCGGGCGTCTGATGTCGACACTGAAATGTCAGTAGAGATTTTGATAGGAGTGCAGTGGTTGGAGTTTATTTGAAATATTGTGCCTAGCTGTGTCCTCATTGCCTCCCACTGGCACCTGCATAAAAATAAAAGGCAAGAACTTGTCTCACACTTAACAGAATTTTCAGATTTTATGAAATATCTTTTGCAGTAACTTTACATGGTGACTTAAAATCTTATTCTATTCCCCACGACCACTTTTCACATCCATAGAATGAGATTTGCGCCTGGTTGTTGGTCCCTATGCTGCTAAATTCTGCCCAGTCCAGCTCAGCTTAACCCCAATCCCAAAGACTGGTTGGACCAATTTCCTTCTGCTCTGCACGTTATATAAACATATGCACTTCCACTGACTTTTGTTGAAATTCATGTTTTGACTTTTAGAGTATGATTACAGTTTTTTTAATACATAGGCATACGTTGTTTTATTGCATTGAATTAGTATTGCAGTTGTTTTAAAAAAGTGTTTGTGCACTCACAGGTATTGGAGCATGGAAACACATCACACAGATGAGGTGCAAGCCCTATAAAAGGATGCAGGTATGTTCTATTGTGAACTCACTATTTTAATAAGTTGTCTTTTGAAAACTGCGACACAAGGGCACAGTACTTGTCATCGCACTGCCTGGTCAAAAGTTCCGAAAAGTATAACTTCAAGACAAACAAAATAAGTAGAGCATACAGCTGTATAGAGCATATCATCCCTCTGTTATGCAACTGGATTTTTTCTTCATATGTACTCCAGACATTCTAATTTACGGCCCTACGGTATGTATTTCTGTCATCCATCAATCACAGCACCATACAATTTGTGGAGAGAGAAATCTGTACTGCTCAGCTTCTACTCAGTCATTCAGCTTAATGAACAAGCAACACAATGCTGTATCATATAATCATATGATATGGTATGTGGTATGTAATTGTTCACATAAAAAGGCAGAAAGGGTTTCATGTAACATACATTTTGTTCATTCTTTTGTGCAATGTATGCATTTTCTGTAGCTTTGTAGGATCTGTGGTGCGAGGGATACCAAAGAACACAAGGTATATTTAAAAAAGGACATCTCCTGGCATTTTCAAAGCACTGGATGGCTCTCTGACCATGCAAGTTTTATTTATTAAAGCCATGTTTTCTATGAAGAGTAAATCATTTTGACATTTTCAAATTGGTACTCGTTCCCCACATCTTATAATTATGAAGATTCATGTGAACAACGGGAAGAAGATGAAAGATTAGGAGAGTGGTTGTTTGCTGCAGAGTGAACTCGCTTTACGGCTGTGGGTGCAGGCTCAGTCCGTCTTGTAAGATGTGGTCGGTGTGTACCAAACACCCGACCGCAGGGTTTCTCTCTGGGCCTAAGATGTCATCATGCAGTGCCTTACAGTGATTATGGTAGTGTACCTCTCCCATTATACCTTCACTCTGCTACCACTGTTTTGGCTTGTTTGCTCACTGAATCTCAGTCATATACATCTCACCAGCGGCACTGGAAAGTATGTACTGCAGGTCAGCGCTAAATAACATTCTTTCCATGCAGTGAAATGTTCTTTCACCTTAAATGTCCAGTAAGCATTGAGGGTTTGGATTTGAAACAAAAAGCAAACAGCGTTTTTTTGCCATCAAGGCGTCATTTTGCCCACGTTTTTCTCTATAAAAATTGTGAGGAAGTGTATTGTATAAATCTTAAAGTATGTAGTAACTGATTCTACCCCAACACTGCATTATTTCACCCAGCATTAAACAAAACCAAAACAATTTTTGGGCTGGTCTCAGTAAATCTTTCCTCCCAACCACTTATCACAAGTTGCAAACCCACTGCCATTAGTGGTTTTCTGTAGGGTATATCCCCCTACTTTATGACAAGTTGGAAAAAAGTAGCGCAGCAGCATATTACTGCAGAATGATGGGTTTTGTCACCATAGTTACAACCCAGGAGAGGATTAACCTTGTACAAACACTTTTCACCCCCTCATGTTTAACTCAAACAGTACTTTCAGGGCTGAAATTACAGTAACCTAAACCTATATCTCACTTTGCTGGTTTTGGTTGTGGATAAATATTGACTCGCTCTTTATGTTCACAAACATGTCATTTGTTATTTGTGTTTCTAAGAGAATGTTTGCAAAAATCCACATCACAAAATGTCATTTGGTCCTCCACCTCAGAGAGTCCATTAAGCTGAATTCAGCCGAGCAGCCAGAGGGGTGTTGGTGACCCTCATCGCCTGGGGGTTTGATGTATGTAGGCTGTGCCAACCTCCGACAGCAGCTAACGACTTTGATGTGTTCAGCTCAATGAAGCGCCACTTCTCTGCCCAGCTATATATAGGGAGAGGGGATGCATTTAAGGATAGACTTGTAGACCACAGGCATAATGAGTCTCTCATTTAGGTTTGGGATGCCTGCTCGGATGCCCTGATCACATTCGATAAGGAGGACCTGCAGGACGAGATGGCGTACATCGTGGAGAACGACATCGTTGTGGCTGCGCTCACTAAACAGCTGGACAGCTTGTCTGGTAAGCAATGAGTTTATGATTAAAACATGAAGCCCCACTCAGTGAGCAGCAGTACTCTCTCTGTAAGACCTCTTGATTCCTGTTCCATCTGCCTAATGGACGCTGAGTCTGGCACCTAATGCCACCACGTTTATTCCATCCTGTCCCCAGGTTTTGTTTATTTGTAGTCTCTCCCGGTGACTGTTTTTAAAGACAAGTGAAGCCCTTGGAGCCGCTCATGTTTTTCCTGCAATTTCAATCAAAACCTCACATTTTGGGAACTGCCGGCCCCCGGCACCCTCTGAGGACACGTGAAGTGGTCCAGTGACCTATTTAAAGCAACCATGTGCTCCCAAGCTCTGCCGCCTCTAAAGACACCAAAGCGCTGACAGTGTGTGTAGCGCTCTATTGACATTAGACCAGCCTTTGTGAGGTTCACAAATAAAACTTAGCCCCGCTATGTGCTTGACAGTTAAAG